TGATCTCCTCTCCCGGGCCCTGTGAGCCACAGAGGCAGGGTGATTCTTTTATTTATATGGTAAAAGCCAAAAAAATAAAGCCCATTTTTACATGAGGAATCTTGGTTACAGCGGTTACAAAGTATAGGAGTATTATTGCTTTAGTTTAGTCTCTAGTATTTGCATACCTTTTGCAGTCAAACATATATAGAAAATTAACCAAAAACAACTGGGGACACACAGCCCCCACCCACAAATCAATTCAACGTGGTGCATGCTTCCCAAAACACAAAATACATTTTCCAGGTAAAATTAATGAATCGCAAAACAGAGATGCAACACATACCTTCAGAGCACACGTCAACAAAGCACAAAATGTTAAGGCGCCACCAACCACGAAGGTCCTGGTACAAGTCACAACAACGTATTAACTCTTCATATTTAACCAGGGTCATTAGGCATTTATTCTATTTCAAGCAATCCTCTGGAGGCTGAAGCTGTATTAGTAAGAAAAATCTCAACATCCCAATGTTGTAAGAGCAAATCAGTGAGCCAGGAAATGGAATGGAGGGGAATACAATAGAATAGAGATCATGTGCACCCATCACATGCCATAGGATCAGTGATGGAATATGTATTTGTCAGGGGCAAAAATGTTTGAGAACCACTGTTGTGTCCCTTCTGTGCTTAGAGTTCCTCCAGCCTGTGCACCATGAGTTCTGAGGCAGGAAAGCTGTGGGTTTCCTGCCTCAGAAGATGGAGACCTGAATGGACACTTTTCAGAAGGGGCTGGAATAGAAGAGGGCCCCTTCAACCTCAGGGGGTGGACGAGAATCGCCTCCACGTGGGAAGCATGAGTGACCAGGTCACCTCTGGGATGGTCTTCAACACATGTGCCCAACATAGTATTTTGTCTTTTAGGGGTTTGCCCCCTTAAGGAGTTGACTTGAAGTGTGTGTCCCAATTTCATTAACTAATTTTGTCCATATTTTTTACTGCTGTCCTGACACAAGTCCCATATAGAAAGCTAAGAATGACACACTGATAGTCCATAGCCTCATGCAATCAAGACTCCTCATGCCAACAGTGATCTTTTATTTCCGCTATTATTTACTATATATAGAAAAGGTTTCACTTTTCTCCTTTTTCTCCCAGAGCTGCTTCAGACTGGGCCAGAGAAAGGTCTCCTGGGCTTCCATTCATGGGGCACTTCCTGTCTCAGCTCCGTGGAGCCCCTGCACTGTGCCCAGGGAGGAGCCAGGCCACCCTTGAGCCCACAGAACAAGGAGTTCAAGCCCATCCTGCCTTAAGCCGACTGGATTATCTTCTCACTCATTTGGTAAAATACTCCACCAGCTGGAGAGAGGGCCTCTCAGGCCCGGCTCAGGACAGTCCAGAGGCTGAGCCTCTGTGTCCCCTAGTAGGCAAGGCAGCTTCTAGGACACCCCAGGGGAGGGGGTAGTAGCAATGTTTTATTCATTTGACCCTAATAAGAGCTCAGGTGCAGGGAGATGATGAGGATGGAGACCTGAATGGACACTTTTCAGAAGGGGCTGGAATAGAAGGGGCCTGAGCCCCACAACCTGGGCCAAGGGATCCTGCCCCCCACCTGCTCCGGGACAGCCTCCCCCTTCTCCTCCTCGCTGCATCCAGTCACTGGAATCAAATTCCATTCTGAGTCCATAAAGCCTCAGGGCTGCAATGGGGCCAGGAGACCTTTTAATCCATCCTCCCACCAAATTCAGGAGACCCTTCAATGGAATCCTGCCTGGAGGTCATTAGCTGCTGGCTAAACACTTCTGGTGGCAGAGAGCTTATTACCCAGAGGAAACAAAGTCAAGAGATGTTAAAGCTTCCCAAAAAAAAGAATCAGAGAATAGAATTTCTAGCCAAATTCTGTACAGTGTTGGACCACTCTAATTGTTAGAAATGCCTTCCTGAAAACATCTGTACTCTAAAGGCATCATTTGTTTCCGCATTCTGTTCCTAGCACATGATGTTTAATTGTCTCCCCCATGGTTGCTTGAAATACCTGAAGATCCACCGTGTGGAGCAGGCCACTATAGGAGAGACGAGGGTCTGGCGGTTACCTCATTTCAAGACTCCGCCCCAAGAACGCTCAAGTTTATCCAACAGAGGGTCTGCAAACCCTCAGGTAACCATTCAGGGAAGCTGCAGTTCTGCTTCAAGCCACTAGGAGTCACTGACATTCCATTTAACAAACACTCCTGGGGCTAGAGAACAGAGATGCCTTAGAAAGTAAAATTCACTATGCATATTTTGAACCACAATTTTGATGTAAATTAATTTATTATTACACAACTCAAATATATACAAATACAAATGTATATACCTTGTGTTTATCTCATAACAATGAAAAGTTAAAGTATAAAAATAGAAACAAAGCAATACAATTCCAGTTAACATTAACATGGTACATACATAGTGTTATTCTGCTGAAACTAAATTGGTGATCTGGAGTTTAATAGCACTAATGTGTATGCACATGTTTTGGACCAACTATTGTTGATTTGAATCTATTTACTACAAACATGATGAATCATCATTTGAAAATAGTATATAAAAAATTACTATTTAAAAATGTGGTCATTTTAAGCCATCAATGCACTCTTTTGATGAGTCGATAGCTTGAAGAACGCAATCTCAAACTCGAACTCTCCGGGAGCGCAGGTGCGGGCATTTCTGCAGACCAGGTAGTCAAGGGCAGCATCGCGCAGTCAGAGGGATGGCGCGGGAGGAGGAGTGCCAGCCCCCGGCAGGGGACCCTGCCCGCGGTGGGCACCGCACACGGGCTCGCCTCCCACCCTCCCTGACAAGTGCCCGGCCCCGCTCCCGCCCCAGTGCCGACTGCTCCCCGGCCTGCTTCCACCCTGACCGCGGACCCCCTCCCCAGCCGGCTGCGTAGACAGGGCCGTCCCAGCATTTCCTCTCCCCTGCTCTCCACGAGGCTCCCGGCTCCTGGCAGGGTGCCCTCGGATCTCCTTCCAGGTGCCCAGGCGAGCGCAGCCTCCGTCTTCCGCCCTCCCCGTCACCCGACCCTTGGCGGACAGGACCGCGAGGCCTCACGTCTCCGCAGGTGGCGCTTCATGCGCAGATGGAAGAGCCCTTTTGGGTGTCAGAGGAAGAAGGATACTCAGGCCTTTGGGACATTTTTTAAAAGTTGCGGCAAAAAAGAATGAAATCTGGAGAGTGGAGCCAGAGGGATGGGCAGGGTGGGAGGCATGGGGGGTGGGGAAGCAAGAAGGCTGCCTGGGGATGGGTGAGGGGGTGTGAGAAACAGCTTTGGTGCCTTAACGCCCCTCCCTTGGACGCTCCGTCCGTTAAAACATCACCTTTGGGGCCCCACTGCTCAGCTTCCAGCATCTGGTACCATTTTGCAAGGTGGGTGTTTTTGTGATTGCGCCCATCTCATCCCGGGTATCGGGAAGAATTCCTGGGAGCTCATATGGGTCAAGGAACAGGCCTCCCTGGGGAGACTTACCAAGGAGTTGGCAGGAAGAGGAGAGGAACAGGACCCTGGTCCTCTCCTCATCCCGTGCTGGACGCACAGCGTGGGGCTGCGTCCAGAGCAGGCCCCTGCTCCCAGGTTTTCTCCTCTTACAGGCCAAGGGGTGGGACTAGCCTGGGTGGCAGGGGGACAGGCCGACCTCTGACCCCAGAGTCCGGGTTAGGTGCCAACAGTTTGTAGGGCTTTCCTGGGAGTGCAGGCTGCCCAGCACCGGGGCTTTGGGAGATGTGGGACATGTATACATGACCTGCCCCAGGGAAGAGAGCTAATGACCTCAGGGAATCAGGGGGCTCACTGGTCAGGCCAGGGGTGCTGGGAGGAGGCCGCCTTCTCCAGGAGTACCTCTGGGAAGTGGGTGGTTGGAAGGCCAAGGAGCAGAGTGCAAAGCAGGCTGGCGCCTCAGAGCTGCCAGGACAGGAGCCTTCTAGGGGGTGTCAGCCCCGAGCCTCAGGCCCCTTACCTTCCGAGACACCTGTCTGGGGGATTCTCTGGTCGTTTTAGGTGCGGAGTGTTACCTGCATCTGAGTTTGGCCTCCAGAGGAGGAGGATTTCAGCTCCACCCTGAGAGCTTCTGGAGCTGAATCGTCCTCACATCCAGGCAGTGTTTATTCGCACACACTAGCTGCAGGGCCTGTGCGAAGCCTGAGGACACACGGTGGAAAAGACTGTCCTTGGCCTCAGGGGCCTCCACTTCCTGTGGAGGACAGGACCGAAGTTGGGGTGGGGGGCGGGGCAGGCATCGGTCTTGCTGCTCCTCTGTAATGTCATCACGTTGACGTGGCCTGGGACCCGGCGCTGCCCTCCTCCTGGGTGCCGGCTGGCCTTGCTCTCCCTCCACACCCCATTCTGCTGGCCTGGCTCGGCCCCCCTGCCTGCGGCTTTCCTCCCTCCGCACCCCTCCTCTTGGCTGGCTGGGACCTGTGCTCAGCAGGTGGTTTATCAGGAGCCCCTGCTGCTGAAATCAGCCCGTCAGGGACCTTCAGGCTCCTGGTGTCCAAGTCCCCCCTCTCAGGCCTGGCCACGCAACCCCCAACTCACACCAAGCCCCTGGACGCTGGCTGGTACGGCTGGAAGGGGGCCAGGGAGGGAGTCTATTCTCCCCTCCTGAGTCCTTTTAGCTTCAGTTCCCTGTGCTGAGACCCCCAACCTTACCTGAGTCCCGGGAGACCTGTGAGAGGATGTGGGGACAACCCAGGCAGGCAACAGGCCCCTCCCGCCCCTTGGTCCTTCCCCGCAGAGCTCACGTGTCCTTGTTAACCTCACTGTAAGGCCACGGCCGTGGGCAGCTCCTAGCACCCCTTAGCACACTCTCAGGTGGACTGGGGGGCAAGCACCCCCTTCACCCAGTTTACAACTGCCCTGGCCTCCATCAGGAACAGAGCCCTGGGCCCCAGGGCCCTGAGCTACATGTCTTCCCACCCTGCAGCCCCTTCCCCTCCTGGTGGCTGTGTGTGCTCCGCGTGCCCTCTGCAGGTCACCCTGCTCACCTCCCCCAGGAAGCCTTCCTGCTTCATTTCAGTTTCCACAGGTGCTGCTCTTGTCTCCCTGATGAAAGAAGATGCTTCTTAAGAGCCTCTGTACCGGGGCACTTACAACCGGCACTGAAATAATTTCTGCTTCTGCCTCCCACTGGACTGTGGCCTTCTCTGGGACAGTGACTTGGTCCCTGCCTTTGCTTCCCGTTGGGCTGCCCATAGTAGGTGTTCCTTACATGCCTGATGTTGGAAGCCTCTTTTCAGGAATCACTAGCGGTAGGTCGGTCTTCAGCCGCCAGGTGGCACTAGTGCCCAGGCCCTGCCAGCGCGGGGCGGGCCGTGGCTCTGGGAGAGGCTTAGGCGCTGGTGGCAGGTCGTGCTAGGGGGTCGCCGCGTATTTTCCTTTCACCCCTAGACTGACCGCAGGGGCAGGTCGAAGTGGTTAGAGCCAGAGAAACTGGGAGGGGTTGGCAGGTCAACAGCCGGGACGTCAGCTGTACTGACGGATGCAGGCCGGATTAAGGAACCAAATTCCGCGCAGTGTGAGCGCAGGTGAGAAATCCGGGGCGAGGTCCTGGTGCCAGAGAGGTGCCGGCTTGGGATTACGGTGGGGGGTGTCGAGATCCATGTCTCTGACTGGGTGGAGGAAAATTATGTGGGGCTGGAATTGGGGCAGGTTACCATTGGGAGGAGGGGCCCTGGGGAACCCTGTGTGTCAGATCCCAGCTCTTGATCCAGATCAGAGACATCGGAGGTGAAAGGGCCTTAAGGGGGAGAGTGGAGTCCCAGCCCACCCTTAAGAAAGATCCTGAGAATGAAGATTGCCTGGCAGGGGAGGTGGACACGGGGTGTTCCTGGGGCCGGGGGTCGTCCAGGGGAGCCCCCAGCCCTGGAGAGAATACGTGGATCCGATGCGAAGCCTGATTTGAAGAACTGAGAGATGCACCAAGTCAAAGCACACCAACCACCAGTCAGCGCTCCGTCTCCCTCTCCAACCTCCCTTCACCTCTCTGAGCTGGGTTTCCTCTGTGGAGTGGGGTGGTCGCACTTCCTCTCAGGGTGGAGGTAGTGTGACAACCTAAGATGAAGGATGCGAAGTGCTTCAGAACCTGCAGGGCACTTCAGAGCTTGTTCTCACCTGGAGCACTCACAGCTGGGGTCCCTGCCATCTGTGGTTGGAAGCCTGGCTCCCTGTCCTGGCTGTGTGACCTTGGGCAAGTCACTCAACCTCTCTGTGCATCTGATTTATCATGAGCCCAATGAGGATATTAATGGGACTAACCTCATCAAGCTGTTGACAGGATTAAATGAAATAATGTATAACACAGTGCTCAACATTAATTACTCAAAAATAATACCTATTTTTTAAAAGCAGTCTAAAATGTATTAGTTAAGATTTTTTTAAACTAATGTCACAACAGAAACAAATTCCTGGCAGATAATTCCTGATGACAAAGATCATGTAATATATATATGATTTAAAAATTCAAACAAATGTTTACAGAAAAATGTTTGCCTTTCACCTTTGTTTGCCACAGCCCCTCTCCTCAAAAAACCTCTCTTACTTTCCTATAGGTATAATAATTGCATTATATCCTGTAATAATTAAAGTTATGTTTGATATTTAATTTAATCCTATATTTTATCAAATCTGCAGTTCTGAGGATTTTAGATCCATTAATATTTTATGTACCACTAAGTAACTTTGATTCAATCAGGAATCCCAACTTCAGAAATGCTAAATGTGAGCAAAACACATGCCCAAGCGTTGATGACACACAGGACTGTCGTCCCACTGCCCTGGGCCCTGCGTGGCAGAGACTGGATGCAGCCTTTTTCCCCATCATGCCTCTCTCCGCGTTTTAGTTTCACAATTGTCCTTCCCCCCTCCCCCAGCTCTCCTAAGCGGGTTTCTTGAAATCCTGCCCCTGGTTTAAGGTCTAACTCAAGTCCTCACCTGTCCCTGCAGTTTTCCAGACTGTTCCCTCCACCACGCCCTGCTCCCATGGCTAATGGTGTCAGTCTCCCTAAAGTGCACTCTGTCCCCTGCATTCCCCCTGCTGGAGATGCCCCCCGAGGGGAGGGCTCTATCTCTCTCACCCGTTAGCCCATCAGGCCTTAGTCCACATTCTGTGAGTATGGAAATGACCTCCATGGCTTCTCTTTTATCTTGTTAGGGTTTGACAACTCTATTTTGGGTCACGGGCCTTTTGGGAAATTGATGAAAGCCTAGGAACTCCTCCTCAAAAAAAGGCATATGCCTATAAAGATGATACAAGAGAAACAACCTGAAAATGGGTAAGTTCTCTTAGAAATGGAGATAAAGGATTCAAAGCAGGAAGAAGACAGCACTGGAAAACACTGCTTGAGGTGATCAAGGTCGACATCGACAGTGATAAGTCATGGCGGCAGTATGTACCCTTCATGTAATGTGATGAAATGGCAATTCAGCTCTGTAGTCTTCCTCGCTGAAATCCACACCTCCCATCTCCACCACCTGACCGGGTAGCATTTGTCAGATTTCTCCATTGCAAAGTGGCTCCTGTTGCCGCTTCCGTACTGTGCTCTTTGGAAGCAGATCAATGGGCACCAGCACTGATGTAGTAGGAGTTATGCTCCATTTCCTTGAGAGTGGAGTATCTACAGAGATTATTTTAAATCCTCCTGCTTGGGGGAATAGCTCTCTTCTTTCCTGATTGTTTATTTATTCAGTCATTTCTTTATATCAGTATGAACTCATTTATTTTATATTTGGGGATATAGTCCAGTAATGCTCTTTTTTTTTTTTTTTTGTTCCATTTGTTATAGTTTTGGCTATTGGGTTCTCTTTCAGTCAGCTCCTGTGTCCCTTTGACATAGCCCCACAAGTGTAGGTTGTCTTTTGATTTGGTTTGTGTTTTTGAGCACATCCTTACCTTCTGGCACTGCCAGATGCTCTAGGTTCATCCTGTCTCAGTCCTAGAATCAGCCATTTCCCCAAGAAGCTCTAATTCATTTTCTTGGGGAACAGTATTAAAAGGAAAGATCCACGCAGTATCTGTGGTTGAGGTTACTTTGGTAGAAGCACTTTTTCAAGTGTTAGGCGTTGAGAACGAGATTCCTCATCTACAGGCACAGATTTCACCCAAGTCCGGAGGTCTTATGATTTGCCTGCTTTTTTGGACATGAGTAGACTTTAAAAGCACCGAGAGGTTGGACAAGTATCACAAGCTTCCTTGGAGGAAGTGAGAGAGGTTAAAATAAAAACCACTAAAGGAAATGTCACCTGGCCCCAAAATATGAAAAAATTAGTTATTAGACAAGGAAAACAGCAGCTAGTGATAGCCGTAGCACAGATGGTATTGTAGAGGCCTGTTGATAAAAGCAATCAGGACTGTTTGGAAGGACTGGTCTACTCCCGGCCTGACAGCGTGAGGAGCTGAGTTGGCGCCCCCCCTAGCAAAACTGGTAAAAAAAAAAATTAAATTAAAGCCTCTGGAAATGGTTCTAAGGACAAACGGCAAGTGAAGAAACAGCTATGCAAGACTATCTATGAAAACTCAGCAAGAAAGGGGTTAGTCTGTGGTATTCGAGCTAAACCGCTCCCTCCCTTTTTCCTCTCAGCTCAGCCAGGCAGAGACGCCATCCAGACCGCCTTAGCCAAGAACGTGAGGCTAAGTCCCAGGCAAATGCAGTCAGGAGCAGGGGCTCTTAGCTATTTCTGCCAAACCCCAGCTCATGGAATGGAGGCCCTACCTTGGGTAAAGTTATGGGCTGGGAAAATAACTACAGATGGTTAATTAATCATTTTAATAATGTATTATTGGGTTTCTAACATTCATAGATGTAGTACACATAAAAATAATACCAGAAACATGGGGAAAAGAGACCAGAACTATGTAAGAGCAACATTTCTACATATACTTACATTACGCTAGTATAAATATGAAGCTGATTTTGATAGATTAAGATGTATATGATAAATCTTAGCAAAATCAGTAAAAAAAAAAACACTTCAAAATCAAATTAAAGTGCTACACCAGAAAATATTCACTCACTGCAAAAGAAAACAGGGAAGAGAGAAACAAAAAAATATATATGTGAGCCATATAGGAAACAAAAATTAAATGGCAGACATAAATCAAAGTGTATCAGCAACATTAATTGTGGTTGGAGTAAACAATTCAATAAAAAATCAGAGATTGTCAGCATGGATTTTTCTTTAAATGACCCAACTGTACGTTGACTACAGGAGCCACACTTTGACTTAAAAGACACAAAGAGACTAAAGTAGGAGATTTAAAAGTCATGCAAATATTATAATATAACATGAAAATGGAACCATAATAAAAATGTATGCACTTGATCACAGGGCACTACTAAAAATCCACTAAAAATACATAAAGCAAAAGCTAGAAGAAACAAAGGGACAATTTAACAATAACATTTGGAGACTTCTACATGCCACTTTCAGTAATAGAACAAGGAGACAGAAAATCAACAAGGGAAGAGAAGATCTGAACAAAAGCCAACTAGACCTAACAGATATCTATGGAAAGTTCCACCAAACTACAACAGAATACAGATTATTCTGATTTGCATGTGAACATTCTCAAGGTTAGAGCATCCCGTACGCCATAAAATCAACCTCAATAAATTTAAAAGGATAGAAATAACAGAACGTATGTTCTCTGAGCACAGTAAAATGAAATTAGAAATCAGTAACGGAAAAATTGTAACACCTACAAAACATGGCAATTAAACACTAAGCTCCTAAGTAACCTGTGGGTCAAGGAATAAATAGAAACGGAAAATAGGAAATATTTTGAGTTGTTTAAAATGAAGACATAACATACCCAAACTTACGGGACACAGCTAACACAGAGCTTGGAGGGAAGATAGCAAATTAATAACCTAACCCTCAACCAAAGACCCAGGAAAAAGAAAAGCAAATTTAAATTTTAAAAAAGGAAACAACACTAAATATTAGAATGGAAATTGATGAAATGGAGAATAGAAAAACTAAGATGAATCAATGAACCAAAAGCTGGTTCTCTGAAAAGATCAGCAAAACTGACAACTGTTAGCTGGTTTGAACGAGAAAAGAAGAGAGAAGATTCAAATTACTAGAATCACACACGAGAGAAGGGTCACTACTACTGACCTCACAGTAAGAAGAAATATCAGAAAGGAGTATTGCAATTACTTGTGCACTAAGTTAGATAACAGGTGACACAAACATCTTGTGGGGGAGAGACCTGGGACGGGGGTGCCCAGGAGGTGCCTTGGGTCTCTGACTGGACTAGGGAGTCTTTTATTACAAATGAAAAATGTGACATTCTACTTTATAGATCATCGGGGGTTTTTTAGCCAACAAATAATGTCCTTTGATTGTAACTATGGGGAGCTGATTTACGAATCTTCATTTTAGGTAGTGAAGGAGCAGGTTTGAGACAGATGGTATGTGGAATACTGTAGCCCACTCCCCAAGACAGCCCTTTTTCTGTAATTTCTTCCATCTTCTACACTAAAGCACATTTGAGCCAGCTGAGAGGAGCTCTGTCACCAGCACCAAGCTCTACTCCGAATTCTGCTGCCCAGACATCTAAGACAAATATCTCTTTTCTGCCCATTACTTGAGGGGCCACATAAAGAAGAACTAAGTTCTACTAAATGACAACATTAAATATTTTTCTTGGCTCACCATGCCCACCAAGGATATAATCAACTCACCTGCAGCCCACTTCATCTCTTTACAGTAAGTCTTGATCCCTGCACCTGCCTCACTTACAGACCCAATTATTTTATTTAGAATTACTAAAATCTCTTATTATTAGCTTGGAACAGATGTCCATGCACAATAGCTAACACATGGTTAAATATTTTCTGTTAGGTCTCCCTATTCTGATAGAGGTCATTCCTGACACATGTTGTCAGCCTGAGTGTACTACCAGGAGTCTTAATGCATAGTGTGGGCCTTGAAGTACTGAGGATAAGATTGCGGACTTTAAGGCTGTGGACTTATGAAGGGATATTTATCTGGATCTGAGAAATGAGGGCTGGAAGAGGGTCAAGAGCAAGGAGCGGAGCAACAAACACTCACTGAGGGTGCATCTAGAGACACAGATCATTATCCCCATTTTACACGTTAGGTAACAGTTCTGAAGACGTTAAATAATTCGCCTAAGGTAAAATAGTTAATATTTGGCAAATCTGGGACCGGGCCTGATGGCAGTGCCCAATCCCTTCCCATGCTCCCAGATGGCCTCTCAGACACGGGGGTCTTGATCCCCACCAGGCACCCACCAAGCCTTCTCTCTCTTAGCAGTTTCCCTGTTTGCCTCAAATCCCAGACGCCTGCAGGCCTCTAGGGCAATTCTGAGCATGGCCACTAAGAGGCGCCATTGTCTGCCTGGGGCTCAGGGTGACGCCCCTGGGAAGGTGGCTGCAGGGAGGAGGTGCTGTGTTCTTGCTGTTGCAGTGGGCCGGGTGCTTTCTGCACAGCATTTATTTAGTCCTCCCACCAACCCTGCACAGTGGGTGTGAGCCCGTTTCACAGATGAAGCCGTTAACGATCTGTCCATGATTACAGGGCTCAGTGGAGGAAGCAGGGGTGGCATCCATGTCTGTGTCTCTCCAGTGTCCTGCCTCCAAGCATGCTGGGCTGCCAAGGGAAGTCATTCTGTGCCCCCGGGTGCCCAGTCTGGTGGGGAGGTAGATGGTGGTGGGGAGATGCCACTTAGGGTCTAAACCAGCCCAGGTACCGTTTAGTGAAGGAGGAGGGTGGGTGGGGAGTTACCAAGCCTTTGATTTGGTTACTGAGGGACCGTCAGGTTTAAGGTGCAAATCAAATACAGCTGAAGCTGCTGTTGTGACTCCCTTAGGAAGCCGCTGCCCTGCAGAGCGACCCGACCCCTCGGCAAGTTCTTCCTCCTGCTTTGGGGCAGACGGGCTTTTGTTTCTGACGGGGCAGTTGGCTCGTGTCTTGGGGCCATGGTGCCTGAACACGTGTCCTGCGCATAGAAGCACTAGCTTCCCGCGGACGGCGGCGCACTGCAGCCAGCTGGGGCCGCTGAGAGCGCTGGCCTGGGCGCCCTTCCCTGCCCTTCCGTCCCGTGTCATCACGCTGCTGGTTTGAAATGCGCCACAGTGGGAGTGGGTGCCACGGGACTGGCAACTGCTGGAGAGCAGGGCCCCTCCTCCTGAAGAGCCAGCTGTGGGGCAGGTGCCAGCCCAGCACTGCCCCCGGGCAGCAGGTGGGAGCGGGAGGCGGACCAGGGGCCCGAGGGAGCCGCGGATTCACGGCCTCCAGCCCAGCTCACTCCAGGCGCCTCAGATGAAAGGGTAGGTTCTGCTAGAGAGCAACTGCTGTGCAGTTTGTTATATTTTTTTCTCTCTTTTCTTATGTTTTTGAGGGCCAGTAATTGCATGTGAATCGTAAAACTTGCATATGCTGAGTCTCCACTGGAAGCAGTACAGCTGCACTGGTACCTTCCTGTGGGTCCGAGCCTTAGTGGGCTTTGCCTGGGTCCTGAAGATGTGGGGCACCAACACCGGGCAGAGCGGGCTGAGGGTTAGCTACGGAGGGAGGCACCCCCGAGACTGCTCAGGGCCCTGGGCACGCCTGGCAGAGAGGAGCTCTCCTCTGTGTTCCCACAGAATGTCGTGCTGCTGGGCCTGAGCGGCCGGGTGTCCGTCAGAAAGGGCGGTGCCGGGTGATGTCATGCTCTGTGTGAAGCCACCTCCTGGCCCAGTGACTGCAGCAGGTGGTGACCAGGAGGGGAAGGGACGGCCACTCGGGCTGCGTGGGGGGGCTCAGCAGACACGGGACAGGGGCCGGGAGGGCGGGTCTCACTCCGGGGCTGGGAGCAGGTGTGCAGGCTGGGGGCCTGGGGCCCTTGGGTGCGTGGGGGGAGGGGACTGACGCCTGTAGGTGGGGAGTTATTTCCAGGTACCTTCTCCTGCTGGGGCCCGCCCTGCCCTCGGTGCCCCCCTGGGGAGGGTCCCAAAGGCCTGTGGCCATTCTCAGGGGCTGCAGGGGGATCTGCAGAGCCCACTGTCCCCCCTGTGGGGTGCAGTGTGTGTCCTGAGGCCCAGGGGTGGGCAGACAGTCATGCTGTGTGTCGTGGTCTGTCCCCACCACGGGGCGGAAGGGAGAGGCTGAGCACCTGTCCAGGCAGCAGCCACAGGGACCCTGGTGCTGACAGAAGCCCAGGGAAAGGGCCGTGCGGTGGGGGGTGAGCATCACCCCGAGCTGAGGGGGCAGGAGCCCTGCCGGGAGCTGGGTACAGGCGTGGGGGAGCCCTCTCCCCACCAGCAGGGCTGCTCAGGGTTAGAGGGAGTGTGGCTGGAATGAGTGACAGATGGTGGGTGACTAGGATGAAGCAGCCCTGGGACAGCTGGACCAGGACACACTGCCTGGGGTGTCAGCGCTCACCGCCCAGGGAGAGGGGCAGGCTCCCCAGCCTCCCTCGCAGATGGCAGGGTCCCCGGGCCCCGCTGAGAGCCCAGCTGAGGCTCTCAGGCAGCAGCCTCTGCAGGTCTGGGCCTGGCTGGGGGCGCAGGCCCGTGTGTGAGGCCCTGAGGGCAGGGGAGGCAGCTGCGGTTGGACAAGGGCTGCCTTGGGGCTCAGAGGGGCCAAGATGCTGCCCCCAGCCTCTGCGTGGGGTGTGTGAGGGAGGCGAGCATCTGCCCTGGACAGGCCGGCCCCCCTCCCCTCAGTGTGGCTTCTCAGGGTCTGAGGCCCCCTTAGTGGGGGAGAGTCACTGGCCTGAGAGGGCCTGGGAGCCGAAGGCCGTGGTCTGGGGCCTGGGAGCTGCTCCTCGGCCCGCCCTGACCCACGCTGGCTTCCAGGCCTGGGGTTTATCAAATAACCCATACGGATCCTTACTTTCCTTTTCTGTAAAACTGAAGGTAATCATGCACCTGTCTGCCTCTCACAGGTGAAAGGGTTTGTAAACTGGAAAGAGCTCTACGAGCAGGAGGTGCTGATGATTTAGCTCGTGTCGCCTGGCAGCCTGGAGACCTCAGGAAACACCACTGGGTGGGATCAGCGGGAAGAGTGTACGGGGCCTCCTTGATCCATGGTCACACTTCTCAGTCCTGAATCCCAGGCAGGGCTCGGACCACACGGCCATGGGCACAGGGGCCCGTTCCCATGAGCTGAGCACAGGACCGCCCCACCGCCCACCTTTGGGGGCCGCTCACCCACCAGAATGGTTTCCTCTGGCCTCCCAGCCTCACCGAACGGACAGAGCTCCCAGTAGCCTCACTGGGACGAAACCGCTGCTTTTCTCTTTTGACACCGCAGCACAGCATATTACCGATTTTAGAAAGTACCCACAAACAAAAGACTTAAGATGTTAAAGTGCTGTATTTAATGGATTCCTCAGCGACTATATCGAGACCACGCACACCCTGCGCATCCTGCCTGTGCTCACAGTCAGAGCCCGTTGGGTTGAAGAGGCAGCAGCCACCCTGGGGGGTGCCCCATCTCCCCTGCTGCCCTGCCTCTCCCCAGCCTTTTAGGGAGCAGGTGAGGTGAAGCTCTCAGCTGCAGCCACGGAAGGAGGTTGCATGTCCTTGAGAATGAGGTCTGTTCTGGGGCCCTGGGGCCTTTCTCTGGAAGGCCGGAGCGGTCCTGGCTCTTCCGGTCAGCCTCTGGCCCTGGACTTGCCAGTGTGCTGTTTGGATCAGAGAATGAAGCCAGAGAGTGGAAAAGGGGGGGCAGGAAGAGGCTTTCAAGGGGCCTTGGTGGGACCCTGACAGCAGGAACACTGGGTATAGGGACATCCGTTTGAGGTTTATGAGTGATGGATTGCTAATTTCCTCCTCTTCTGAGTTCCTGCTCTGCAAAATCCAGTCCTTCCCCCTTTGTGTCTCCTTTACTGTCACCGGTCACCAAACTCACACTTCTGATACCAGATCTGAGGGTTTTCCCCTACATCAAACAATTCTGGGACGCCAGAATTGTTGATTCCTACCATTCAACTCAATTCTGACACTGTCTACTTAGAGATCCCACAAGACCATCACCGCCCCCTCACCTCCCTGCAACACACACACACACACACACACACACACACACACGCTCTCGAGGCTGTTACCTGTGCTTCTGACTGATCACCTGTAAATTAGAGGTTCCCATGAACCCCTCCTCAGATTCAATTAATTTGCTAGAATGGCTCAGAGGACTCAAGAAAAGTTTGCTTACAGTTTTCCCAGCTTATTAAAAGATGATAAACGACACAGATGAATGTTCAAATGGAAGACAGGTGTAAGGCAAGGTGTGTTAGAAGGGGTCCCCTGACTCCCTGACCCCCTAGGCACACCACTCTCCCCACACCTCCATGTGTGGGCCAACCTGGAAGCTCTGTGAACCCCATACTATTCGGATTTTTACAGAGGCTCCCCACATAGGCCTGATGGACTGCTAACCCCATTTCCTGCCCTGCTACCCTCTCTGGAGAAATGGGTGGGGCTGAAACTCCTAAGCTGCTAATCATGGCTTGGTCTCTCTGGCAGCCAGCCCCCCACCTGGAAGCCACCTCATTAGAACAAAAGACATTGCTCTTACCAGGAAATTCCTAGGGATTTTGGAACTATGAGTCAGGAACTGGGGGTCAAAGCTGAACATTGGAACAAAAGATGCTCCTAGTACTCTTATCACTTAGGAAATTACAAGGTTTCAGGAGCTCTGGGCCAGGAACTGGGGCCAGAGACCAATATATGAATTTTCTATTATTTCACAGTTATCGACCATTGATGGTCCCACTGGCCCCTCACGCTCAGACCCCTGGGCTGGGGCTCCCCTTCCTGCCCAGGGTCTCTATAGGCCAGCACACTCCCTGCTGCGCAGCTTGGGGTCTGTCTGCCTCCACCCCTCCCATCCAGTGTTTTGCCAAGCGAATCTACACCCTGTCTCCACCCTGTCACCTCTGTACCCCATCCTGACCCTGACTCCGCCCCTCATCTCTGCCTGGATTTTGGTGACGTGTCCTGTGACGTCTCCTGTCTGGCCCCTTGGCTCGAGTGTCCCCCAGGAGGCCTGATTGTCCTGAAGAATCCTCCTGAACTAGCCTCTGGTCCTGCCTCAGCCCTGTTCAGAGAGCTTCACTGATGGCAGCTTATCGCAGAGTTTATTTCAGATGCCTCAGCCTTGCTTTCAGCATCCTCTACAGCCTCCCTGCTCGAAGCGAAGCGGGGTCCTCAGACCTGCAGCACCAGCGTCACCTGGGAGCTTGTGAGAAATGCAGAATCTGGGGCCCCCCAGGCCTCCTGAATCAGAATCTGCTTCTTAACAAGATTGCCAAGTGAATCGGATGCATATTCAAGCAGGAAGAGTGCTGGCATTGAGCTCAGGATTTTTTCCTCTCCATCCCTTCTCTCTTCCTGGGGTTGCTAGTTATCTGTGTGTATCTCCACTGGCAGTCCCATACTGCTCCTCTTTGTTCTAATTGCTTTCCAATTATATTCTCTATAATAATTTTCTCGTCCTGTCTTCCACATCACTGGTATGGTTTCCTGTAGTGTTGATTGCATTCTTCACATTTTTTAAATCTGCAAAAGAATTACTTTTCTCCTCAATTATTTTCTTAGCCCACCCCCCATCCGCTTGTGATATCTTCGTTCTTCTTTCCTCTCCAGTTTCGTCAGCCTTTTGCAAACTCTTGTTCCATTATTTTGGAAGACCAGATATTTGTGCAGGTCTCATGTCAGTGTTTTTCTTTCTTGCTGCTTTTTCACCTTTGATCGGGGTCTGTCTACTTGCCCTGTCTGGGTCCATTGCTCCTAGGGTCCAAACTGGTGCACTTTGTGGTCTCAGGGTTAGAGTGTTAGCATTTCATATTCATTTCTATGATAATCTGAACATTACTATGTGAGATTCCGGATCCTGCAGGTGACCGCCGCATGGGGAGGGCTTTTCAGTTCGCTTTTGTCCTAAAGCACCCCACGGGAGGGCCCGGTGACAACACAGAGCATGACCCTGCTGGGGGCTGCTGAGTGCGCGGTTTATGTGGAGGAGATGGGTGGGAGGGAAGGCCCTGGGGGGGGGGGGTGCAGAATGACTACGATGACACATGCTGAGCCTTGGGGTGCACCCACGGCCCTGAGCGCTGACCACATATCATGAACTCAGTGACTCATGCAGCAGCGCTGTGAGGGAAGGCCTTTGATGACTCCACCCCCAGGCAGGTGAGAGACTGAGGCACGGGGAGACCCCTGCTCAAGTAGACAGCAGGAAGTGGGGTCGGGTACAGAGTAGGCAGTGTGGCCCCAAAGTCCCATTTCTCCCCATGAGTGAGAAGACTCACTCCATTCGCCCACAGGTCACTTCATCTAAAGCCAGTTTGCTGACAGGCAGTTGACAGAATCCATTTCCTAAATGAGCAAATCACTGAATGACCAATTTGCTTAATTTGCTAAACTTATCAAGTATTTACTTCTACCAATTATTGATACAGTTTATGACAATTTGAATAGGGTGGATTCACAGGGTTCATGAGAATTGGGGGGAGCAAGGACCCCAGGGTTCTGGGTCAGACTGCCTCCTGACCTCAGTCTCCCCTCTCTCTGCCTGTCAGCCCCCTCATCATGCTGCCCCCACACCCCCTTTCAGGGGCCACCCATTCAGTCTGTCCTATGAACTGACTTCCCTTCTTTCTTCTAGCAGGGAACTGGGTAGAGAAACAGCACACATTGCTTAAGGTCCTCGTAGAAGAAGTAATGAAAACCTGTCAACTAAAATACAGAAGAAATCTTCAAGAGCTGTTAAACCATTCCATCCAATATGAATTGCTTTAAGCGTTATACATAGTTCAAAGAAAGAAGTTTCTGGTAAATGGACAGATTTGATCATTACAGTGAGATGACAATCTTCGCTGAAGTGGCATCTGGCAACTGGGCTTACTTCTGCCCACCAGCACCTCTCAAACAGGCACGCCAACTCGAAAGTTCCTGCTCCATAGCTGTCAGGGGCATATCTGACTTGCAAGCAAAGATTTGGGATTCTAGCTTTGTGGCACCAACTTATTAAAGTTCATTAGCAGTCATATAATAAATACCCACGATTGTAGCAAAGGCCTAAGGAAGAAATTTTTTGTTCTATGATTCCAGTAGTAATTGATTTTGATATGTACTGAGTGGAGATTTCAGTAATGCTGTAATGCTAATTTTCTTTCAGGTGAATAGTACGGTTTTACAGATATATTAAGTGTCACCTGGCAGAGTTTTGGTTAAGAACGATGTTGCTCCTTTGAACTAGTAAACAAAGGCTTTCATCAAGCATTGTATAACAAATGTACATGAACTAGCATTGTTTGTATTCAAGTTAAAAAAATAAGTATAGAACCTTATGTGACCCTACAGTTTTTTTCCTACAATCCCAACATTAATGACTTGTTTCAGCAAAACAAAAACACCCGTCACATAACACTCAAGTTGTAGGTTTGAATATCTGTGTGACTAACCATTGCATCATTGTTTTACTACTTTATTTTTATTTAATTTATATCCATTTTTTGGTTTATAGTATAAAAACTATAAGCACAGACATTTATACATATTTTCATATTTATACATCTAAAAGTAAATTATAATAAAAATAATTTAAATCAACACTGGATAATGGGAGTTCTTTTCTTTAAAAGGAGTCTTTTTTGGACTATGAAACAAATTTTTATCAAACTATTACAAGAAGCAAGAACAAGAGAGATCTTTAGTAAGCATAACACAAATACCACACTGACAAAGTAAAGCATAAAAATAAAGAAAATACAGGAGAATTACCAAATAGTAGCACATTAAAAGACTAACACATCAACAAGACTAGAACAAGAATAATTCAATATTAGGAAATCTATTAATGTATTATTAATAGATGAAACAAAAAACTATGTGACAAAAGGGAAACTACTTAACCTTTCATTCTTGGTAAAACTCTTGATAAAACAGGAATAAATGTGTACTTCTTAACATGTCTTATATGTCTTAACCATAAAACTACATCATGCTTAACAAGGAAACACTAGAAGCATTAACTTTAGGAGCAAAGCAAGGCGATGTTTTCATTACTATTATTTCATTGCTATTATTTAACATGGTTCTGGAGGTATAAAATGCAGTGAAACAAGAGACAAGGAAGGAGCCATGTAAATTGGAAAGAAAGTTATCATTATTTGTTGATAATATGATTATGTAGAAAATCAAAGGGACCAAATGAAAATCTGTTACAAACAGTAGGAACATTTAATGACATGACCATATGTTCTATACACATTATTTTAATCAACTCAGTAGAAGGTATAATGGGAAAAAGACCCCATTTACAACAGCAACAAAAATGATGAAACATTGAAATTTCCACAAGACATGTCTTTTGACTTTCATACGGTTTATATATATATTATATAATGAAAATAAAAGCATCTAGCTTTACTTGAATTTTGAGAAACCCTGAGATGGTACATTTCCTATGCTATTACACCTGGTAGGTGATGGAACTCGGAAACTGTTTCCTTCCCTTCCCACCACTCCCCTCTATGCACAGCTGACCCTGAATCTTGCATCTGCAGGCCTCTAGCTTTTTTTTCAGTCAAGGCCATCCCTCTCTCATGGGGAGTGGACTGGTGTGTGACATCCTGAAAGCCCCCACCTAGGCCCCAGCACCTTCGCTATTCTGGGAAAGCATCTGTGTCACCTGAGCATCCCTCTGCAGGTTCTGTCTGATGGGTGTTCCCTAAGGGAGGTTAGAAGGATCAGAAATCAGAGGTCAGCAGTCAGGAATCTGGCTGACTGCGGAAGGGTTCGCCTCTCATACTTGGCTGTTCTAAGAGAGTCAAGTGTTCACAACCTGTGAGCTGAGAAAACTTTGCTGAGGATCAGGGTGTGGGGGGGCAGTTCATGCTGCTCTGCTGTTTCAGTGGGATGGGTCAGAAAGACTTGGAGTCTAGTCCAGTTCCACCTAAAGGAGAGATACCTGGGGACCCAGAGATGAAGGTGGGCTGGGGCACCTCCTGCCAAGGCCCCTCACTGCCCCAAGTCTCCATAATCTAGGTGTCCTCCTGGGACCCTGGGCTTGTCTGGATCTCCTCGTAGACGGTGTGCACTGCCGGAGAACACTCAAGGCTATGTGCGTGCCAGCTGCACTTCTTTGTGTCATTCTGCGATTCAAGCAGAGTTTAGAGGGATCTGGGTCAACTTCTAAGAATTACCCACCGGTGTCAGTCAAGCTGCATCTCTTCATGTGCTTCCCGTCCCCACCAGGCAGTTCTGGCTGTCAACCCAGTAAGTCCCCAAAATACAGCTTCAACTCAGACCCCTCTCTTAAACAGGGCACACTCCTCACACCTTCTTGGTCCTCCACCCAGGATGCCACCCCCCCACCAAGACCTCCACCTCGCTCCCCTCCCATCTCTCGGCCCTCTCTCCTGCGTGAGGTTCCCTGAGAGCCTAAGTTAAAACTGCTTCCCAGCCCCCAGCCCCTTCCCTGTTTCCATTTTCTCCCTAACACTTATCATCATCTAACAGTTCAATTCTCCCTTCCCCCAACCTAGAATGCATATTCTATGAGGCCAATGATTTTTGTGGTTTCCTTGACCTCTGTAGCAGAGAGCCGAACAATTCTGGGGACACGGTGGACCCTCAGTAAGTATTAGTTGGACGAACTTGCACATCACCTGGCCCACTCTCCCTGCAAAAGTGCCTTGAAAAACCGCAAAGCGTCAGAGAGCTGTAAGGTGTTATTACTGGGACCTCCATTTTATAAAAGAAGGAACTGAACCCCAGGGAATAAAGTAATTTTCTAAGGTTGATCAAGAAGTCAGTGTCAGAAGAGAAGACAAGTAGTGACTCTGTGGCATCTTACTACACTGCAGACAGTGACTTCAATGGGGTCTGGGGGGGACTCGATAATAAGGGTGAATATAATAACCACATTGTTTTTCTTGTGAAACCTTCATAAGAGTGTATGGCAATGATACCTTAATAAAAAAAAAAAAAAGAAAAAGCAGAATGACAGTTGCCAGGGGCTAAGGTTGGAGACGGGGGAACGGCGAGTTACTGTTCCGTGGACACAGAGTTTCTGTTTTGCAGAATGAAAATAGTTTCGGAGATGGTGGGGATGGTAGCACAACTGAATGCACTTAATGCTATTGAACTATGCTAAAAATAATAAAGGTGATCAATTTTATGTAACGTGAAATTTACCACAATTTTAAGAAATAAATTTTTTTAATACCCAGAAAAAACAAAAAAAGAGGTCAGTGTCACAGCGGGGTCTCACACCCGTTCTTCCGGACTCTGCTCTTTCTTGCCACCTGGATCTCTAGTCTGTGTGTGTCTCCCTGTGTCCTGGGAGGGAACTCATTTTCTCCATCAGGCTGGGAGCCCCCCAAGGGCAGGGACTGAGGGCAGGGGGCTCCAGGGCGGAGCTGAATGTCTGGGGACAGATGTCACCTGATCTGTTTCTTTTTCCCAAAGTCATACATACATTGCTCCCTTCCTGTTCTTCTCTGGGAGGGAGTATTGGGGTTTGGGTCCCAAGAAGCTATTTCCTGAGTCCCCTGAGGTCCAGGTCAGGTGGGGACATAACTCAGAGGGGCTGTGATGGGAGGCCACAATGTGGCAGGCCCTGAGGCAGCTGGGGACCGTGCCCAGCACGCTGGACTGGGAGCGAGGAGAGCCCCCTCTGCCTTGTGCTTAGCACAGCTCCCTGCCTGGTCCCGGGGCTCCTTCTGGGGGCAGCTTGTCCCCACCCTAACCTGTTGGGCCTGACCGGGGGATTCCTAAGATCCTGCTCTTCTGTGGCTCAATGATCTGGAGCTGCCCCCTGTTTGGAGAAGTCAGGGGGAGACCCAGCCCCAGGCTACCCTGGGAGCCCAGACAGCCTCTCTACTTGCTTGCCCCTGATCGCCCTTTAGCCCAGTAGTTACCAAAAGGTAGCACCAGGAGCACCAGCTTCCCTTGGAAACCTGTTGGAAGTGCCAACTCAGCCCTAGACGCCCTGACCAGAAACCCTGAGAGTGGGTCCAGCAATCTTCGTTTTGCTAAGCCCTCCAGGTGTTCGGAATTAGGGCTTCCTGGAAGTCCCTTAAGTGTCCACTCCTTGCCCAGCTAGCCCTGCCTCCGGGCCTTCCCCTGGGCAGAATGATCCCATCCATGAGCAGAACGCCCATTTCCAACTGAGGGCCAGTAGCCACCTGAGATGCTCGCCCAGGGGCATCTCATCAGTGGGGACCACAAAGCCTTTCCCCAAAGAGGAGGCATTCATGGCAGGATCTCAGGCTGATAGGAGGGCAGGGACTGTGGGGCGGGGGAGGAGAAGATGGGGGCTTTCCTGCTGCTCCTCAGAACCTGAACATCCCCTGTAGAGTCCCTTCATACAGCCACGGTGAAGCCTGGGCTGCCAGGGCAGGTGTGGTGACTGGTCATAGTGACTGCAGGTACTCGCCTTGTCAAGGAGTGGTTGGACTGTGGTTTCTGAACTTAGAGGTGGTAACCACCCTCAAAAAAAATGCGTCTGGTAAAAAAAAAAAGTGGGGTGGTGGGGAGACATTTCTCAGCCTGAAAGTGTGCAGGGAGAGGGGCTGGGTCTGGGGGACAGGAGCAGTCCAGGGCGGGGCACATGCCTGAGGGCTCCTCAGTCCTTAGTCTGCAAGTCCTTCTCCCCTGCTTGGATGCTAGTGACTAATTCAGCCCCCCAGCCTCCTCAGTGCTGGGAACGGGAGCAGCCATGCGTCAGGGCCGCATTTATGTCCGGAATGATGCAACAGTCTCCAGATACTGGGCCAACTTCTGCACTTGCAATTCTGAAGACTATAACAAGGGATGCCATTCACTGTGGTGGGCACCTTCCGGTTGCATCACATCAACTGCCAGAAAATGTTCCCAGTCCCAGCATTTTCCCGAGCCCTCCCAGGCTTTCCCCTCACGCACCGTCTGCTCGCCCATTCTCGCAGCCCTTCCTAACAGATCACACTCACCCCTCCGTGAACAGATGTCCTCCAGCTGTAAAGTTGCATTCTTCCTGTCCACAGGTTGCAGACCATGCAGGTGAGGCTGCCGACTGACTGACTCAGGAGCCAGCTCAGGGTTAGATTCCTGGAGTTGGGGGCTGGGCCCAGTGTCTCTCTCTGCTCCAGCTCCCTGGGAAGGCCAGTACTCAGCCAGGTCACTTCCAGGTCCTCTGTGGCTCCTGGGGTCCAGCACTCCAGGCTGATATTGCACCAGCCTGATGCGCTGGATGCCACATGAATCTGAATCTGGGGCTGCGGGATGGGCTCTGGGATAAGAGGAATGGAACAGAAAGTGAGCTTCAGGGTTGGAGGTCCCCCCAGGTACATCGCTCACTCTCCCCTATGTGATGCAGCCATGTGAAGTTTCTCAACACAGGCGTTGGGAAGGAGTCCACTCCCCATGGCCAAGGGTGGGGGTCCAACTCCCAGCCCAGGGGCAGACAGTTGAGGCTCTGCCATGATCAGTTAAGTCTAGATAGATAAGCAAGCAATCATAATGTATATGATAATTACATAAATATATGTATACATGATAATTATACATGTGATGACAATTATAGATAGTCTCAGACATATAATAACCATACATGGGAGAGGTTGAGAATACAGTGGAAAAACATGTGGAAGTTCTTATTTGGTTCAGAGAAAGAACAAAGTACTGAATATTCTTGAATGTTGAAGGAAACATTGAAGTTTCCTAACTGGTAAGATAAAAGTACAGGGCAGTAGAACTTCCAAACTACCAGAGAAATTTGGATCAAAGGAAACTCTACTAATGCATCGAAAGGCTAGAAAACAACAGGAAAAATGGTATATTTAAAAAAAAAACATGCAATAAGATGTCAGGAGCAGGTTCTTACATGTAAAAAATTGAAACACATTTGAATGCATTATATCCTCATATTAAAGAGCCAAGACTCAGGTTAAACACGTGCAGCTGTGCAATATTTACATTACCTAATGATACAGAGAGATTAGAAAGAAAGAGATGGAAAATCATAGACAAAATGTCAACAACACGGTTGCAGATGTGGCCACAGTCACTATAGAGACATAGATAAATATGTACCTAACAACATGGTTTGGAAATGTTTAAATGTCATGAAGCGCAAAAAAAAAAAAAATCTAACAAAATGAAAACCAGAATGCTATTGGAAATTCAAGGATAAATTATCAAATCCAGTATGCCTATGATGGATAAACCTAAAAAGATTAGAGGGGAGGATGTAATATGGGTAAAAATAGATGTTAAGCCACTTGGCCACTCTGATAGGTGGCTCACTCCACAATCAGTCCCACCTCCCTCTCTGTCCTTGCCTTTCTCTACTGTAGAATCTGGAAAGATAAATTCTCTTTTTCAGTCTCTCTTACAGTTGCATTGGTGCTGACCAATGGAGTAGAGGTCAATCTGCTGGAGGAGAGGAAAGGTTTTCACTCCTGAAAAGACAAAGCCTCACAAGAAGGACTCTTCTCCTGTCCTTCTGTCTTGGGCACTCTTTCTAAGGGAATGATGTCTGGAGCAAGAGCCATCCCGGACCACGGAGCAACAGGCCTGAGACGTAAGACTATGTATCAGGGACAGGGGAGCAGGAAGATACAAGGAGCCCAGGTCCCCAGTGACAATGCTGAGCAAAGACTGTCACCAGCAACGGCTACTTCCTGATTCCTTGTTACCTGAGAAAAATAAACCCTCACTTCCTTAAGCCTTTGAAAATCAAGTTTTATGCTAATTGCAGAAACATATTCTTAGCTTATGTGCATAGATAACAATTAAAAAGGTGATTTGATCAGCAAAATCAAAAGTTGATTAAAAACAATCAAGATAAAAATATTGAGGTCTGACTAAAAAAATTAAAGCTTTAAGTAAATATCATTAGGAATGAGAAGCAGGCCAGGACTACAGATAGGGAAACATTATTAAAAATTATAAGGGAACAATATGTACAACTACAGATCAATAAGTTTTAAACTAAATGAAATAATCCTTTTCTAGAAGTATAAGTGATCAAAATTCTATTAAGAAGGGGCCACAAACCTAAATACATCCCCAGCCTCAGAAGAAATTAGAAAGGTGGCCAAAGATCTGACCTTATAAAGGGCATGAAGTGCATATGGTTTTTAGGGGGTGAGTGCTACCCAATGATCATGGAAAATAAAATTCCTGTGTTATACACAGTGTTTCAGAGATTTTTAAAAGGTAAGATGTTTCTCAGGTCATTCTGAAAGGATAGTTTAACTTTAATAGTTGCATCAGAAAAAGAGAATACCCAAACCAAAACAAGACTAAACACATTTGCAAATTCATGGGTTAATAGCAGTTATAAACAAAGAACCTAAAATTCCTAAATTAAACAGGAGCAAATTTCATCATGCAATACATCATGATCAAGTTGGCTTTATTACAGGATTGTAAAATAGTCTAATTAGGAAATTTATTAATATAATTTGTTTCATTAGCAGATGAAAAAAAAATAACTAGCATTTACTGAGCAGGTATGTATTTCCGGGCACAGCTCCAAGGGCTTTGCATTAATTCATTTAATCCCCGCAATAACCTATAAAGTTGCATGGACTGGCCATGTCAGCGAATTATCCGGGCAGGAGCAGGCTCTTTGCCATAAAGGGTCAGATACGTAGTTTCACCTGCCAAATGGTCTCTGTTACAACTACACGACTTTGACATTACATGGAGAAAGCAGTCAAATGCAACATGTAAATAAATGGATGTGGCTGTGTTCCAATAAAACTTTATTTATAAAACAGACACTGGGCTGGATTTCACTGATGACTACAGTTTGCCAACCCCTGATATGGGATAGTTATAAAGCATACATATTTGTGGCCTTTCCCAAGACTTGTTTGAACACGTGCCTAAAAAAAATAGTATATTTAAGTAGCTTCTTTAGAAGACCAATTAAAAGTTATGAAACACTGACAGGTATTTAGAACCTTTGCTCTTAGGCATTTAAAATATTCACACAGCAATCAGGTTATATGAATTTTTATTAGATGCTATTTTCAATAGGTGAAGGAATATTTATCTGCCTTGAATAATCAAAAATCCTAGAAAAATTAGATGTGTTTCTGTAAGTATCCTTCAAATATTGCTCAAATCTCTTCTGTTAAAGGAATACCTCCTGAATTCCTACTGGGAACTGTACAAACAGTGGGTAGGTGCCAAGGAGAGTAGGGCATGAACCCTGCTCTCAAGTGGAGAGCGGACCACACACAAATAACTCCAGGGCAAGTCAGAGAGAAACATGATCCATGGAAGAATTAGAAACAAGAACTTTGAGACTTCAGAATGGAGAGGCTCACTTGATAGTGATCAGGGAAGCCTTTGTTTAAGACAGCGCCTTTCTGAACGTCATGAGGTAAGGGGGAGAGAGAGGCCCTATTTTAGGAACAGTGTGTTTGCCTAGAAACAAGGCTAGAAAGATGACATCAATTCGTGGAGGGTCTCTAATGCCGAGATGAGTACCTACTTCTACAGAGGATGGGGAGTGAACAGGTGTTATTGGCAGATTTAACATGGACACTTGTGGGTTGTCAGATAATGGAAAGCAAGTTGAGAGGAAACCAGGTAACATCTTTTTTTTTCCTACTTTTTTTTTCTACTTTTTCTGGTAACTCCTCTTCTGCTCCAACCTGGTGGTCTTGATGATTGTCCGTCGCAGCACCCTGACTCTGGTCACAAGGATGCCCACAACCCAGGCCTTGCCAATCAGAGGGTGCTAGTCCCCTGGCCAGTGCCCCATCAAGGGGCTTGGACCCACGCACAGCCAGCAGAGTCCTTCCCTGAAATTTTCTGTGTAGCGAAGGCCAGGAATGTCCCTTTGCTCTCTGGTCGAGTAGGACCCATAGGTACAGAAGGCCATGTGAACAACCTCAGGAGAATAAAGCTGACAGGAAAGACAGAGAGAGACACACAGAGCAAAGATGAGAGGACAAATGGCCTCTGACAGAGAGGAGCATGCCCGTGAGTTTTCCAGTTCCTCTGAGAATGAGGAGGAGTTCCTTTGCTGAACTTCCTCCTATGAGATCCATGTATCTACAACAAAAACCCTCTTTATTGACCTCATTTGAGTAGGTTTCCATTTCTTGCTGCCAAAAGACGTAGGATGAGACTGCACTAGTATGGCGTTTATCAAGGACTTTATCAACAAGGAAGAGAGGGAGACAAGATCAGGACGCCCGGGAGCCAGCAGGCATTTGCCCCAGCCTTCGCCGACTGGAAACCCCGGCATGGACAGTCCACCCAGTCAACGCAGCCTCTTATTATAAGCATTCCCATCTCCCACGTTGGAGTCCCTCACTTCCCCCTGCTCTCACTCAGTGAGGATTCGCCAGTCGTACAGGAGAGGTGTGAGAGATGGGTATTCCTGGGAGAGCCCCCAGCATCCTTCAAGGAGGGGAAAGGGGGCAGGTGGGTGAGGTGAAGCGTGGCAAATGTGGAGCACATCAAAAAAGCCATCTCTGTCAGGTTGAATCTGTTCCTGTATTTTTCTTCAATTTCATACCATTCAGGATTACGGGTACCAGGTTTCCAAGACACCAGAAGCCATTCTTTCTCATGCTTAGAATTCCAATTCCACTCAATCTCTCGGATGTTCGGGCCCACAGAGGAGTTCATTTGCAGCTGGACAGATTGCCCCACAATCCTTTCCAATGTGCAGGAAGTACTGGGGTCTTGGACAGTCTGGGAACCTGGTGAAGGAATAGTTAAGAGAGAAGAAAGAAAGAAGGGGCTCAAATGTTATGCTGTCTCTACTATCTGCTTTCACATGACATTAATTTCACATTTACAAAAAGAGATAATTCTCCACGTTTACAGACAAGGTAACAAAGCTGCAGAGGTAACTTGCTCAGGCATTGACCTTGCCTAGAATACGGCAATTTTGATTCAAGCACACGTCTGTCACCCTCCCAGGCTCAGGCTCTTTCCTTTTCTTGCAGCGTGAACCTAACATGGCTTTTGGTCTAATTCCAGGAAAAAAGAAACCAACTTGTGGCATTTGACACATGAGTGTTCTCTCTTTCTCCAACCTAAACATGTTGGATACAAATTTTTATCCCTTTGGGTCCTCAGCCTGCCTCGTCAATTAATGCCTAGCAAGCTAGGTACTGTTGCAGTTCCTGGAGATACAGTGGTGAACACGCAGACCAGGTCCCTGTTCCTGGAGCTTCCATTCTAGGGAGGGACACTACTGAAAAAAAAGCAGGTGAAAAATATAAATGACCTCAGATAATTATAGGTCTTATGAAGAAAATAAAAGGAGGTGGCTCAGATGTCGTATCTGTTGCCTGGCATCTGAACTTCCTTCTCCTGTTGGCAGAATCCTCGCCCTTATAAGGTAGAGCCAACATCCCACTATGGAAGTTGAAAATGCCAGATACTCGCTTTCCCAGGCTCCTTTGCAGCCGAGATGGCACATGACCTGGGCTCCCCCAATCAAATGCACCCACCCCAGACTTTCCAACATAAGCTCGTGACATGAGGAGAGGATCTGTGCTAGCGATAGCGGCACTCATGGCAGCAGCCGTATCCAGGCGCCTGAGGCAATAGTGGCAGCGGTTCTGGGGCAAGGCAAGGGCCCAGAGTCCAAGCGGTTGGAGTGTGAGCTCTGATGTCAGTGCCAGGAGTGACATATCAGCTCTTACTGGACCAACCTCTGTGGTATGACTTAGAGTATGGTTCCTCGATGACTAGTCTCAAAGTCCGGTCACCTGGACCCCTCAAAGTTCCGTGGACCACCTGCTATCCTCCAATATATGTATTCATTATTCAGTTAATTGCTGCTTGTAACTGAGAACTCTGACTGACACTAGGATAGTGTGACAAAATAGTGGTGGTTTGGTGAAGGTACGGGGTGTAGTACTTCATCAAGAAAGCCTCCTTTGAGGCACTGACAATTAAGGTTTGTCCTGAATGATGACAAGGCGGAATAAATTATTCCAGGCAAAAGGAAGACCACGTGCAAAGACCCCAATGAAGAACTGATATTGGCCACTTTGTGGGACAGAAGGAAGACCCATGGCTGGAGCAGAATGAGCAAAGAAGAGATCTGGAGGCAGGACAAGAGAGGTAAGGAAGGCTTTTTGGGGTGGGTGGGGAGTGCGGCTGTTCTCTAAATGCAACAGGAAGCCACTGGATGCTTTTAGCAGAGTGATATCGTATGATTTACACTTCTAATGATCCCTTTAGAATAGATATTGTGTGGAGAGTGATTTTTAGGAGGGTAAGAGGCTCTTGCAATAGGTTAAGTGAGAGGGAAATAGTGGCAGGGGATGGGGGGAGTGGAAAGAGTCAGCAAAACTGGGAGGACAACCGACAAGGATTGCTAATGGCCTGGTTACTAGCCTGGAGGAAAAGAAGAATCATGGATGACTTCTAGTTGTTTGGCTTAAGCAACTGGGTAGATGCTATGACATTTATTGAGCTTTAGTTATTATTAAAACCTAGGGAGGAACAGGTTTGGGGGGAGGTTAGGCATAAAACAAGAATGTGGTTTTAGACATGTTAACTTGGGCTTCCAAGAACAGGTGTTAGGTAGGCAGTAGGGTGTGGGTCTGAATCTCAGCGGAGAGGTCAGGACTGAAGATGTGATCCTCAGCGGACTCACGCTCCTTAGAGACATGGAAGTAACTAAAACCACCTAGAGAGAGAGCATGCGTAGGGAAGGAAAGAGGGAAGAGAACTACCAAAGGATTTGGGTCTGTTAAGGGAGGTGGAGAAGGAGCGGCAGCAGGGAAAACCCAGTGAGTGCCGTGTCCTAAAAATCAAAGAAGGAAAGTGCTTCAAGAAGAGAAGGGGTGGGCAACCATGGTAGCTCGGCTGAGAGGTGAGGTTAGTCTACTTTCCATCCTCTTTTTTCATCCTTAGGAGTTTCACAATTGTTTTGTGCTTCTCCATTCCATTAGTACCTACATTCTTAACACATATATTTCTCTGTTATTATATGAAAATATTCAAATTATACCCCTCCTGCCCTCTACATGACCACCACCCAAAGTAGGATGAAAACATTCCCTAGCCCATGTTCTCTCCTCCCTCCACCATCTTATAACATGCTTTACTTACAACTTAAATCACAAATTCCCAGCCACATTACCATCATGTATTGTGGTTTACTTATATTTATTGTGTGATCTTTGCTTACTGCTGTTTACTCTTTCTTTCCCTACTCTTGAGATCTCTGTTATAACTATTTTGTTGTTTGATGGGAAACTTTTCTGAGGACTTTCCTCCTATGGGCTCTGTGGGTGACACATTCTCTGCTTCCTTACTTAAGTGCTGATACCTTCTCTTACCCTGAAAGTAAGTGACGCTGAGGCTGATTTGAAAGGATTTGTGGGTTGCTGTGCTTTTCTTCAGAAAGCTCAGAGATGTCTTTTCACTGTCACTAAGCTTCCGGTATTACAGATGAGAAGTTGGGTTATTTTTCCTTTGGAATCTTTCCAGGTTTCTGTTCTTCTTTGTTGAATTTCAAAAAATTATACCAGCATACTCTTAGGTGCATGTCTCTTGTTTTCATTGAGGTGAAATTATAATAAATACAACTAAAACTATAATATGTACAATTCAGTGGCATTTCATATATTCATAATGTGCAACCACCACCTCTTGCTAGTTTCAAAACATTTCTATCATCTCAGAAAAACACCCCATGCCCATTAAATAATCAGACTCTCTTCCCCTTCCTCATCCCCTGGTAGCCAGTAGTCTGCTTTCTGTTTCTGGATTTGCCTATTCTGAATATACCACATAAAAGGAATCACAAAATATATAACCTTTTGTGTCTGGCTTCATTTACTTACCATAGTGATTTCAAGGTCATCCAAGCACTATGTACCCATATTTTCTACCCTTTTATGGCCAAATATTCCATTGTAGGTATATACCACAATTTGTTTATCCATTCATTCATTGACAGGCATTTGGGTTGTTTACGCCTTTTAGTTATGACTAATGCTGTTATAAACCTTTCTGTGTAAGTTTGTTTGGATATAAAGTTTATTCTCTTGAATATACACCTAGGAGAGGAATTTCTGGGTCATATTGTAACTCTTAAATTTATTTTTTTGAGGAACTGCCTAACCACTTCCCACAGTGATTGTGCCATTTTACATTCCCAACAATTTTGGGGTCCCATTTATCCACATCTTCACCAGTTTTTTTTAATTAAAGCCATCCTGTAGGTGTGAAGTGCCATCTCATTGAAGTTTTGATTTGTATTGCCTTAATGGCCAATGATGTTAAACATTGTTTCATGTACTTTCTGGCCACTTGTGTATTATCTTTAGAGAAATGTCTAGCAAAGTCCTTTACCTATTTTTAAAATTTTTTTATTGTTTGCTTTTTTGTTCTTGAGCTTTATATATTCTTGATACTGGACCCTTAGCAGACAAACCATTTGAAAATATTACTCTTATCCTGTAGGATATCTTTTCACATTCTTGATAATATTTTGATACCCAAAAGTTTTTAATTTTGATGAAGCCCAATTTATTTTTTTTCCTTCTTGTTGTTCATGCTTTTAATGTCAAATCTAAGAATCCTTTGCCAAATCTGAGGTCATGAAGATTTACCCCTGTGTTTTCTTCTAATAGTTTTATCATTTCAGCTCTAATGTTTAGGTTGATCCATTTTGAATTCATTTTTGTATTTGGGTGTTTTTCATTTGTTTTCTTAGGTAAACATTCAACTTCATTCTTTTTCATGTAACTATCCATTTGTCTCAGCACTATTTGTTGAAAGGTTATTCTTTTCCCCCATTGAATGATCTTGATGTCCTTATTGAAAATCATTTGCCATAAATGTTTTGGTTTATGTCTGGACTTTCAGTTCTATTCCATTGGTCTCTGTGTATTCTTAATGCCAGTACCATACTGTTTTGAGTACTGTAGTTTTATAGCAACTTTTGAAATTGGGAAATGTGAGCCCTCCATATGAATTTGAGGATCAGCTCTCTCATCTCTGAAAAAAAGGCTATTGGAATTTTGATAGTGATTGCATTGAATCTGTAGATTAATTTTGGGGGTATTGCCATCTTAACAATATTGTCAATCCATGAAATGGGATGATTTTCATTTATTTAGGCCTTCTTTAATTTATGTCAGGAATATTTTGTAATGGTACTATACAAGTCTTTCACCTCATTGGTTAAATTTGTTCCTACATACTTTTCTTCCACTGTTGTCATAAGTGGGGTTATTTTCTTAATTTCCTTTTCAGACTTTTCATTGCTAATGTATAAAAACATAGCACATTTTTATTTTATATACATTGGTTGTGCACCCTACAACTTTGTTGAATTTATTAACTCTGCTAGTTCATTTTGTGTAAGGATTTGATAGGGTTTTCTATATATTCATTCATGTCATCTGCAAAGAGATAATGCCGTGTCCTAAAAATCAAAGAAGGAAAGTGCTTCAAGAAGAGAAGGGGTGGGCAACCATGGTAGCTCGGCTGAGAGGTGAGGTTAGTCTACTTTCCATCCTCTTTTTTCATCCTTAGGAGTTTCACAATTGTTTAGTGCTTCTCCATTCCATTAGTACCTACATTCTTAACACATATATTTCTCTGTTATTATATGAAAATATTCAAATTATACCCCTCCTGCCCTCTACATGACCACCACCCAAAGTAGGATGAAAACATTCCCTAGCCCATGTTCTCTCCTCCCTCCACCATCTTATAACATGCTTTACTTACAACTTAAATCACAAATTCCCAGCCACATTACCATCATGTATTGTGGTTTACTTATATTTATTGTGTGATCTTTGCTTACTGCTGTTTACTCTTTCTTTCCCTACTCTTGAGATCTCTGTTATAACTATTTTGTTGTTTGATGGGAAACTTTTCTGAGGACTTTCCTCCTATGGGCTCTGTGGGTGACACATTCTCTGCTTCCTTACTTAAGTGCTGATACCTTCTCTTACCCTGAAAGTAAGTGACGCTGAGGCTGATTTGAAAGGATTTGTGGGTTGCTGTGCTTTTCTTCAGAAAGCTCAGAGATGTCTTTTCACTGTCACTAAGCTTCCGGTATTACAGATGAGAAGTTGGGTTATTTTTCCTTTGGAATCTTTCCAGGTTTCTGTTCTTCTTTGTTGAATTTCAAAAAATTATACCAGCATACTCTTAGGTGCATGTCTCTTGTTTTCATTGAGGTGAAATTATAATAAATACAACTAAAACTATAATATGTACAATTCAGTGGCATTTCATATATTCATAATGTGCAACCACCACCTCTTGCTAGTTTCAAAACATTTCTATCATCTCAGAAAAACACCCCATGCCCATTAAATAATCAGACTCTCTTCCCCTTCCTCATCCCCTGGTAGCCAGTAGTCTGCTTTCTGTTTCTGGATTTGCCTATTCTGAATATACCACATAAAAGGAATCACAAAATATATAACCTTTTGTGTCTGGCTTCATTTACTTACCATAGTGATTTCAAGGTCATCCAAGCACTATGTACCCATATTTTCTACCCTTTTATGGCCAAATATTCCATTGTAGGTATATACCACAATTTGTTTATCCATTCATTCATTGACAGGCATTTGGGTTGTTTACGCCTTTTAGTTATGACTAATGCTGTTATAAACCTTTCTGTGTAAGTTTGTTTGGATATAAAGTTTATTCTCTTGAATATACACCTAGGAGAGGAATTTCTGGGTCATATTGTAACTCTTAAATTTATTTTTTTGAGGAACTGCCTAACCACTTCCCACAGTGATTGTGCCATTTTACATTCCCAACAATTTTGGGGTCCCATTTATCCACATCTTCACCAGTTTTTTTTAATTAAAGCCATCCTGTAGGTGTGAAGTGCCATCTCATTGAAGTTTTGATTTGTATTGCCTTAATGGCCAATGATGTTAAACATTGTTTCATGTACTTTCTGGCCACTTGTGTATTATCTTTAGAGAAATGTCTAGCAAAGTCCTTTACCTATTTTTAAAATTTTTTTATTGTTTGCTTTTTTGTTCTTGAGCTTTATATATTCTTGATACTGGACCCTTAGCAGACAAACCATTTGAAAATATTACTCTTATCCTGTAGGATATCTTTTCACATTCTTGATAATATTTTGATACCCAAAAGTTTTTAATTTTGATGAAGCCCAATTTATTTTTTTTCCTTCTTGTTGTTCATGCTTTTAATGTCAAATCTAAGAATCCTTTGCCAAATCTGAGGTCATGAAGATTTACCCCTGTGTTTTCTTCTAATAGTTTTATCATTTCAGCTCTAATGTTTAGGTTGATCCATTTTGAATTCATTTTTGTATTTGGGTGTTTTTCATTTGTTTTCTTAGGTAAACATTCAACTTCATTCTTTTTCATGTAACTATCCATTTGTCTCAGCACTATTTGTTGAAAGGTTATTCTTTTCCCCCATTGAATGATCTTGATGTCCTTATTGAAAATCATTTGCCATAAATGTTTTGGTTTATGTCTGGACTTTCAGTTCTATTCCATTGGTCTCTGTGTATTCTTAATGCCAGTACCATACTGTTTTGAGTACTGTAGTTTTATAGCAACTTTTGAAATTGGGAAATGTGAGCCCTCCATATGAATTTGAGGATCAGCTCTCTCATCTCTGAAAAAAAGGCTATTGGAATTTTGATAGTGATTGCATTGAATCTGTAGATTAATTTTGGGGGTATTGCCATCTTAACAATATTGTCAATCCATGAAATGGGATGATTTTCATTTATTTAGGCCTTCTTTAATTTATGTCAGGAATATTTTGTAATGGTACTATACAAGTCTTTCACCTCATTGGTTAAATTTGTTCCTACATACTTTTCTTCCACTGCTGTCATAAGTGGGGTTATTTTCTTAATTTCCTTTTCAGACTTTTCATTGCTAATGTATAAAAACATAGCACATTTTTATTTTATATACATTGGTTGTGCACCCTACAACTTTGTTGAATTTATTAACTCTGCTAGTTCATTTTGTGTAAGGATTTGATAGGGTTTTCTATATATTCATTCATGTCATCTGCAAAGAGATACAATTTTACATCTTCCTTTTTAATTTGGGTGTTTTTCATTTGTTTTTCTTATCTAATTGCACTGGGGACTGGCTGTACAATGTTGAATAGCAGTGGTGAAAGCAAGCACACTTTTCTTGTTCATGACCTTTAAGGGAAAGTTTTTAGTCTTTCACCATTGAGTATGATGTTCACTGTGGGCTTTTCATAAATGCCCTTTACCATGTTGGGGAAGTTCCCTTCTTTTTCTAGTCTGCTGAGACTTTTTATCATGAAAGGGTGTTAAATTTTATCAAATATTTTTTCTGTCTATTAAGATGATCATGAATTTTTTTCCTTCATTCTATCAACATGATGTGTTACACTGACTAATTTTCTTATTTTGAGCCACCACTGCATTCCTGGGATTAATCCCACTTTGTAATTATGTATAATCCTTATAATGTGCTGTTGGATTCATTTGCTAGCATGTTGTTGAGGATATTGCATCTATATTCATCAAGGAG